GGATCTAAATTTTCTTGTAATTCTGGAAGAGGTTTGTGCTTTTACCACTTGCTGGCCAACTCTTATCTATTGAGGTTGATTCCACCTCTTTGTCAAAACCTGGAATTGCTCCTGCCACTTATGTGAAGACAGCTTAGCTGTCAAACAGTGACAGAGTTGAGACCACTGAGCCTAAGACCATTGAAAATTAGATGTTTGTATGATGATTCTTCTTCTTTTATTCTTATACACTCAAGAAATTATCTAATGCAGATGCATGTTGATTGTGTGAAGGTTCTAGAACTTCAAAAAAGTATAAGGCAGCCAGTCTACTCCTACATGGCAAGTCTGGCCTCGCTACATTGTGTCATCATGTGACCATTTTCACACGAGAATATCTTAGGCATTAAATGGTTGATCTCCTGAACAACAAACTAAGATTGTTTATATTTGGTAAATTTGTTATTTTACTATGAGTTAATTTCCTATTCACTTTAGGAACTAAATAAATCTTAGTTTAGGAGATAAAGTTTCTTACATCACGACAAAATAAATTTCCTGACTTGTAAATTATTTGGGCGGTACATTCATTTGCACTTACTTTATAAACGCATCCGAACTACTGTACTAGGTATGCAAGTCTATAATCAACTTAACAAACTCTTTCAGGCCACTGATGTCTTATTAGAAACACAATATGTGGGCTAAAAAACTCAGACGTTAATGGAATAACTTGGAATGTATCATCACAATGCCGGGAACAGATAATCCCCGTTGTCCGAAAAAAAAAAAAAATCTAACCGATTCTAAAGGTTAAATACCTTCAGCTTATTTTTCTTGAAGATTAGCCACCGTAATGGTAATATAACTTAACCTAATGTTAATCAACCTTAAACTAACCTAACCCAACCCAACATGTTGCATAAGGGTAGTTAATATTCAGTTAGGTTTGGTTAAGTTAGATTAGTGTTTGGGTGGTTGATCTTTTGGTGAAATAAGCTGGGGTGTATTCCCCACATAGTCTCAGTTTCATCATAAGTGTAGCTCTAAAGTTAAGCACATTCTTCCCGTTTTGCCAACTTTCTAATCAGGAGCAGCATTTTTTTATCATGGTTGTTTTTATCTTTTCTTAAATGTCGTTTACCTCCATCTTGATCTGTGTCAGTGTGGCATTATTTCTTGATCTTTTGCTCCTTTCTGATGTAATGCAATCATTCTCTTTATACCAAACGGGTTCCTCCTTCCCAAAAAAAAGAAGGCATGGGGTGTCTCTCTCAAACTATGTTATGGGTTCAACTCTTGCTTGGCTCGGACACATGTGAGAAGAGTGTTGTCCAGTGTGACCCAACCAAATAAAACAGGTTTTCTCTGGGTACTCGAATTTCTTTTCATTCTAACACGGGAGAAAAGAAAAAAAAACCAGCCCAACTGCTCGAACTGCTAGTAAGCTGGTAAGTGGTGGAATGATAGATAAATACTTAATTTATTCGAATTCTTTTGCTCGTCACCGTCACCACTCAACTGCAAATCCGGCGACATGTTTTTTTCCTTTTTTTTTTTTTTTGCCTTAGGTGTTTTTGATACTTTTTTTTTACGGGGATTAACCCACCCGGGCACAAGTCACTGACCCACATCGGGCCCGTGGGGAGAAAATATAATAATAATAATAGTAATAATAATAATAATAATAATAATAATTCAATTTTCAATTTCAATTTCAATTGTTTATTCCTTGATAGAGGAAGCGGGATCCTAGTGCTGTCACTAGGTACCCCTGTACAATGACACCAGAAGCATCTGGCAAGTGTGACAAGTATATACAGCATAAATATTATAAAGGGGCTTGCTAAAGCCTAAGGAAGGAAGGATATTCCTTTAACACATAATCAATGTTTTTTACAAGATATCTGGCCAGTATGGGGAGGATCATCGTGTCTCTGTCAGGGGGTCGTGGAGTGGTGGTCCAGCAGGAGTCATGGAAGCGTTGTGTGTGGGGACATCTTAGGAGGTAGTGGTTAAGGGTGCTGCTGTCGGGTCTTCTGCATAATGCACAAGAGCGTTGCTCAGGGGATGCGAGGATACCAATCTCCCAAGCAAAGTCAGACCCAATGGTGATACGGGCAGCAATCACGTCCCCTTTCCGCGGCCCTTTCCCATAGACGTACGAGAGGTCAGGAAGTTTACGGAGGACATCGTACCAGGTGGGCGGGGAGTCCAGGGGGATGGCTGCTTCCCGAGCTTCTCTCTGTTTGCGGCGAATTTGGGTCCTGGGCTGTAAAAGTGTTCGAGGAACAACGTAGTCAGGTGTGGGCCTTGTTGCAGCCAGTCTTGGCAAGGCCATCTGCTGCCTCATTCCCCAAGATACCGACATGACTGGGTATCCATAGGAATGTCACAGGATGGCCTGCATCCTGAAGTGTGGATGTTAATCCTCGTATTCGGAGGATGAGGTCCTTATTTTCCCCTGATCCAAATGCAATCCCGTTGAGAGCAGGCCTGGAATCGCAGCAGACAAGCAAGGGGCAGAAACCATCTGCTTCTTCCTCAGCGAGAAGGGCAGCAAGGAGGGCTATTAGTTCCGCCTGAGTGGAGGATGCCCCGTCAGAAAAATAATAATTATAAAAATAAATGCAATTATAATAAAAAATAATAATACAGTAAATACAAAATGAAAAAATCAAGAGTGAGAGATACAATTGAAACCCTGCAATTGTGTGTAAATGAGGCAGATCAGCAACTTGGGACTTGGTCACAATTTTGTGATTTCATATGGCAACAGGGTCTACCATTAGTCAACACTTTATGCTTCCAATATCCTCCCAGGCAGTAGTACCTCCCTGTTTGGTAACTGCTTACTACTAGTGTGGGTTATCAGGTTACGCTATAGGTCAGGGAAGAAACTGATGATTAGACTTACACATAACCTGTATATTCTTAGGTCCATTTTTGTAGCCTGGGTCCAAAACCTGTAGATTAGGTCCACACCTGTAGCTTAGGTTCACACCTGTAGCCTAGGTCCAAACCTGTAGTTTAGGTCCACTCCTGTAGTCTGAGCTCATATCTGTAGTGTGGGGTCCACACTTGTAGCATGGGTCCACATGTGTGTTCTGGGTCCACACCTGTAGCCTAGGTCCATACCTGAAGCCTAGATACACACCTGTGTTCTGACTCACACCTGTGGCTTGTCTCTACACCTTTATCCTGACACCACACCTGTAGCGTGGGTCCACACCTGTAGCCTGGATCCACACCTGTAGCCTGGGTACACACCTGTAGCCTGACTCTACAACCTGCAGCCTGTCTACACCTTTACCCTGACTCTACATCTGTAGCCTGTATCTACACGTTTATCCTGACTACACCTGTACCTAACTCCACACCTGCAGCCTGTGTCCACACCTTTACCCTGACTCTACACCTGCACACCTTTTCTCTGACTCCACACCTGTAGCCTGTGTCCACACCTGTAGCGTATGTCCACACCTGTACTATGACTCCAACCTGTAACCTGTGTCCACACCTGCAAATATTACTAATTTTGATTTTCCCTTTGAGTGAGGATCATCAGAGAGTCATAATGAAGTTTCGATACCATGTTTTGCCTCAGTCAAGGTACCTCTCTACTGCAGCTTAACCGACCCAGTTACTTACAGTCTCACTCCACCAGTTAGAGGGGTAAGTTTATCTTCACTGTTGAGTGACTGTGTAAATCTTCCTCCCTTACTCCTCACACTACCTTAATCAAGCTCTCACTCTCTCACACCTCACACCTCACTCTCCCTAACACCTCACTCCCCCTTCACGCCTCACTATCCCTCATAACTCATTCTCCCCCACGCATCCCTCACACTTCCCTTACGCCTCACTCCTCCCTCTCACCTCACTCTCCCTTACACCTCCCTAACGCCTCACTCTCCCTCACACCTCACCCTCCCTTATACTCTCAAGCACTCTACATGTCTGCCTCACACTCTCACGCACTCTACATGTCTGCCTCATACTCTCACGCACTCTACATGTCTGACTCATACTCTCACGCACTCTACATGTCTGCCTCATACTCTCACACACTCTACATGTCTGCCTCATACTCTCACGCACTCTACATGTCTGCCTCATACTCTCACGCACTCTACATGTCTGCCTCATACTCTCACGCACTCTACATGTCTGCCTCATACTCTCACGCACTCTACATGTCTGCCTCATACTCTCACGCACTCTACATGTCTGCCACTCATCTACATGTCTGCCTCATACTCTCACGCACTCTACATGTCTGCCTCATACTCTCACGCACTCTACATGTCTGCCTCATACTCTCACGCCTACATGTCTGCCTCATACTCTCACGCACTCTACATATCTGCCTCATACTCTCACGCACACTCTACATGTCTGCCTCATACTCTCATACACTCTACATGTCTGCCTCATACTCTCACGCACTCTACATGTCTGCCTCATACTCTCACGCACTCTACATGTCTGCCCCATACTCTCACGCACTCTACATGTCTGCCTCATACTCTCACGCACTCTACATGTCTGCCTCATACTCTCACTCACTCTACTGTACATGTCTTATCTCACATCGTCAATATAATTATAGTGAAACTAATATAGGTTAAATTTTTTGTTATATATAGTAAAATGTTACATTGGAACTTTCATTTTTGTTTTGCATTACTTCTGTAGTTTGATTATGTAATAAAAAAAATAGTTTGTAGTTGATGTAATATAATAAATATATTTTTGTACCCTTTTTTTTATCTTTGTGAATTGTTATTGTATTATTATGTGTTCTTAACTACAGGAAAGTTGCAATGGGAGAACTATTTTGGTATTAATGTGTGCGTGTGTGTGTGTGTGTGTGTGTGTGTCCGGTTACATCATTCAGATTTTAAGACTTTTTATTAATATGAACATCATGTTTTTTCGGTGAGCGGAACTGGTTACTAGGAGGGGGGGGGGGTTGAGTTTGGTCAGTGGTCTATTGGAGGAACGAGTTGTGTGTGTCAGTGTAAGTAGAGTGGTGGTGGTGGTCGTGTGTGTATGTGCCAGTGTAAGTAGAGTGGTGGTGATGGTTGTGTGTGTATGTGTCAGTGTAAGTAGAGTGGTGGTGATGGTCGGTGTGTGTGTGTCAGTGTCAAGTGGTGGTGAGTGGTCGTGTGTATGTGTCAGTGTAAGTAGAGTGGTGGTGATGGTTGTGTGTGTGTGTGTCAGTGTAAGTAGAGTGGTGGTAGTGGTCGTGTGTGTATGTGCCAGTGTAAGTAGAGTGGTGGTGATGGTTGTGTGTGTATGTGTCAGTGTAAAGTAGAGTGGTGGTGATGGTCGTGTGTGTATGTGTCAGTGTAAGTAGAGTGGTGGTGATGTCGTGTGTGATGTGTAAGTAGAGTGGTGGTGTGTGTGTATGTGTCAGTGTAAGTAGAGTGGTGGTGGTGTGTGTATGTGTCAGTGTAAGTAGAGTGGTGGTAGTGGTGTGTGTGTATGTGCAGTGTAAGTAGGTGGTGGTGATGGTGTGTGTGTGTGTCAGTGTAAGTAGGTGGTGGTGAGTGGTCGTGTGTGTATGTGCCAGTGTGTAGGTGGTGGTGGTGGTGTGGTGCCAAGAGTGGTGGTGGTAGTGGTGTGTGTGTCAGTGTAAGTAGAGTGGTGGTAGTGGTCGTGTGTATGTGCCAGTGTAAGTAGAGTGGTGGTGATGGTTGTGTGTGTATGTGTCAGTGTAAGTAGAGTGGTGGTAGTGGTCGTGTGTGTATGTGTCAGTGTGTGAGTGGTGGTATCGTGTGTGTATGTGCCAGTGTAAGTAGAGTGGTGGTATGGTGTGTGTGTGTGTCAGTGTAAAGAGTGGTGGTAGTGGTCGTGTGTGTATGTGCCAGTGTAAGTAGTGGTGGTAGTGGTCGTGTGTGTATGTGCCAGTGTGGTGGTGGTAGTGGTCGTGTGTGTGTCAGTGTAAGTAGAGTGGTAGTATGTGCCAGTGTAAGTGGTGGTAGTGGTCGTGTATGTGTTGTGCAGTGTAAGTAGAGTGGTGGTGAGGTGTGTGTGTAAGTAGAGTGGTGGTGATGGTCGTGTGTGTGTCAGTGTAAGTAGAGTGGTGGTAGTGGTCGTGTGTGTGTGTCAGTGTAAATAGAGTGGTGGTAGTGTGTGTATGTGCCAGTGTAAGTAGAGTGGTGTAGTGGTGTGTGTGTGTAAGTGTAAGGAGTGGTGGTAGTGGTCGTGTGTGTGTGTGTCAGTGTAAGTAGAGTGGTGGTGAGTGGTCGTGTGTGTATGTGCCAGTGTAAGTAGAGTGGTGGTAGTGGTCGTGTGTGTGTGTCAGTGTAAGTAGAGTGGTGGTGATGGTCGTGTGTGTATGTGCCAGTGTAAGTAGAGTGGTGGTGGTGGTCGTGTGTCAGTGTAAGTAGAGTGGTGTGGTGTGTGTGTGTCAGTGTAAGTAGAGTGGTGGTAGTGGTCGTGTGTGTAGTGGTAGTAGTGGTGGTAGTGGTCGTGTGTGTGTGTGTGTCAGTGTGTAGAGTGAGTGGTAAGTGGTGGTGTGGTGTGTGTGTCAGTGTAGTAGAGTGGTGGTAGTGGTCGTGTGTGTATGTGCCAGTGTAAGTAGAGTGGGTGGTAGTGTGTGTGTGTGTGTCAGTGTAAGTAGAGTGGTGGTAGTGGTCGTGTGTGTAAGTGTGTGTGAGAGTGGTGGTAGTGGTCGTGTGTGTATGTGCCAGTGTAGAGTGGTGGTGTGTGTGTGTGTGTCAGTGTCAGAGTGGTGGTAGTGGTCGTGTGTATGTGCCAGTGTAAGTAGAGTGGTGGTAGTGGTCGTGTGTGTGTCAGTGTAAGTAAGTGGTGGTAGTGGTCGTGTGTGTATGTGCCAGTGTAAGTAGAGTGGTGGTGATGGTCGTGTGTGTGTGTGTCAGTAAGTGGTGGTGGTGGTCGTGTGTGTATGTGCCAAGTGGTGGTGTGGTCGTGTGTGTCAGTGTAAGTAGAGGGTGGTGGTCGTGTGTATGTGCCAGTGTAAAGAGAGTGGTGGTAGTGGTATGTGTGTGTGCCAGTGTAAGTAGAGTGTGGTAGTGGTCGTGTGTGTGCCAAGAGTGGTGGTGATGGTCGTGTGTGTGTGTCAGTGTAGAGAGTGGTGTGAGTGGTCGTGTGTGTATGTGCCAGTGTAAGTAGAGTGGTGGTAGTCGTGTGTGTGTGTCAGTGTAAGTAGAGTGGTGGTGGTGGTCGTGTGTGTGTGTCAGTGCAAGTAGAGTGGTGGTAGTGGTCGTGTGTGTATGTGCCAGTGTAAGTAGAGTGGTGGTGATGGTCGTGTGTGTGTGTCAGTGTAAGTAGAGTGGTGGTAGTGGTCGTGTGTGTGTGCCAGTGTGGCAGAGTGGTAGTGGTCGTGTGTGTGTGTCAGTGTAAGAGAGGTGGTAGTGGTCTGTGTATGTGCCAGTGTAAGTAGGTGGTGGTGATGGTCGTGTGTGTGTGTCAGTAAGTAGAGTGGTGGTAGTGGTCGTGTGTGTATGTGCCAGTGTAAGTAGAGTGGTGGTAGTGGTCGTGTGTGTGTCAGTAAGTAGAGTGGTGGTGGTGGTCGTGTGTGTGTCAAGAGTGGTGGTAGTGGTCGTGTGTGTATGTGCAGTGTAGAGTAGAGTGGTGGTAGGTCGTGTATGTGTGTAAGTAGAGTGGTGGTAGTGGTCGTGTGTGTCAGTGTAAGTAGAGTGGTGGTAGTGGTGTGTGTGTGCCAGTGTAAGTAGAGTGGTGGTAGTGGTCGTGTGTCAGTGTAAGTAGAGTAGAGTAGTGGTGGTGGTGGTCGTGTGTGTATGCCAGTGTAAGTAAGTGGTGGTAGTGGTCGTGTGTGTGTGTCAGTGTAAGTAGAGTGGTGGTAGTGGTCGTGTGTGTGTGTCAGTGTAAGTAGAGTGGTGGTAGTGGTCGTGTGTGTGTGTCAGTCAGAGTGGTGGTAGTGGTGTGTGTATGTGTCAGTGTAAGTGGTGGTGGTGGTCGTGTATCAGTGTAAGTAGAGTGGTGGTGATGGTCGTGTATGTGCCAGTGTAAGTAGAGTGGTGGTAGGTGGTCGTGTGTGTGTGTCAGTGTAGTAGAGTGGTGGTAGTGGTGTGTGTGTCAGTGTAAGTAGAGTGGTGGTAGTGGTCGTGTGTGTGTGTCAGTGTAAGTAGAGTGGTGGTAGTGGTCGTGTGTGTGTGTCAGTGTAAGTAGAGTGGTGGTAGTGGTCGTGTGTGTATGTGCCAGTGTACTGTGGCAGAGTGGTGATGGTGGTTGTGTGTGTGTGTCAGTGTACTGTAAGTAGAGTGGTGATGGTGGCTGTGTGTGTGTGTGTGTCAGTGTAAGTAGAGTGGTGGTAGTGGTCGTGTGTGCGCCAGGTGTAGAGTGGTGGTGGTCGTGTGTATGTGCCAGTGTAAGTAGAGTGGTGGTAGTGGTCGTGTGTATGTGCCAGTGTAAGTAGAGTGGTGGTGGTGGTCGTGTGTATGTGCCAGTGTAGTAGAGTGGTGGTGGTCGTGTGTGTATGTGCCAGTGTACTGTAAGTAGAGTGGTGATGGTGGTTGTGTGTGTATGTGTCAGTGTGTGTGTGTGTGTCAGTGTAAGTAGAGTGGTGGTAGTGGTCGTGTGTGTGTGTGTGTCAGTGTAAGTAGAGTGGTGGTGGTGGTCGTGTGTGTGTGTGTGTGTGTGCGTGTGTGTGTGTGCGTGTGTGTGTAAGATACAGTATAGCACAGGAACATATGACGTGCTGAGTGGTAATGACAGCAGGATAAATTTGTCGGGTTGTAACAGTAGCTGGCTAACTTGACAGAGTGAGGACAAGAGGCAAAACACTATAGTATGTTGAGTAAATAAGAGCATCCATATAACTCTATTTACTAAGAACGCAGAACCTAACCTAACCTACCTTAACCTCCAGAGAAGATGGCGAGGCAGCTATTACACTTAACCCGGGGGACCTTGAATGGGATGCTGCGGCTCCTGCTTTTGGTGCTCTTCCCTGGGACGCCACGACACGACTACGACGCCTCCGACGACCTCTTACTCCAGTACGACTTCATCGTCGGTAAGTTACAGCCACTGATACTCCTCGTCACCTGGTATGTTGTGGTAATGGTGAGTGTTGTGGTGATGGTGAGTGTTGTGGTGGTGGTGACACTGTTGTGATGATGATGACAGTGTTGTGATGCTGGTGACAGTGTTGTGCTGGAAGTGGTGACGGTGTTGTGATGAGGCCTATACGATCAAGTGAACTTCTCTTTCTTCATCACAGCCTCTGAGAAGAAACACTCTAGTTCCGTTCAGTTCAGTTTTATTCAGTAAAATCGTCATACAATTACATATAGATTCAATATGTGTACAGACAAAGCAGATACACAATATACATACACAGGAAATGTATACAAAACTTGTATCTCGACAGTGTGGAGGCAAATAAACGAAGATAAACAATAAGGTCAATGTCATACACTTGTCTAGCCACTACGTATTGTACCACCTGTTTGGGAAGACAAGAAGGAAATAGCTTATACTGAACTGGTTAATAAATATCTCTGACCGTAAGTGTGGATGACTTGGTGGTGGAGGGTGACGTGGACGGGTGACGTGGATGACTTGTTAGTGGTGGTGGATGGGTGACGTGGATGACATGCTGGTGGTGGGTGACGTGGACGGGTGACGTGGATGACTTGTTAGTGGTGGTGGATGGGTGACGTGGATGACATGCTGGTGGTGGGTGACGTGGTTGTAAGACTCATCATCTATCAACACACAACTGTATCACAAACTCTTCCTCTAGGATGATTAAGGTCACGAAACTCTACATTGCTCACACATTACAGTATATTGGAGCTGGTGACAGTGTACAAGGTTAAATTATAAGACCCTACATAACAGATTCTTCTTTACAACTATAAACTAGACTTGGTTTTCCGGACGATCGAGAGAAAGTGATTAATTACATAGTATTGGTCATATTTACGGTGACTAAATTTACTGTCACGTAAAAAAGAAAGTTCCCTTGTACTCCTTTTCGAAGCTGTGCCAAACCTAAGTGAGATACAAGTGTAATCTTTGGGTAGAGAAGCAGTTTCGAGATTCGCTCAAGTAATTCGGGGTCTCATATGTATGAAAGGATATTATATTTATGATAACATATTAATGAAATAGTTCCCTTATGTTTTGTACTTGACATGCTTGCTATAACCCAATGTTTGTGTGGACAGTTGGGTCAGGGTCGGCGGGAGGCGTGTTGGCGTCGCGTCTGTCCGAGGTGGCGGAGTGGCGGGTGTTGCTGCTGGAGGCTGGAGGACCACCGCCCCCTGAGAGTGTCGTTCCGGCATTCAGCATCAACCTCGATCGCAGCGACGTTGACTGGAACTACAGAACAGTACCGCAATCTTTTGGACTGAGAGGCTACAACGATAACGTGAGTACATGAGAAATTGATGGTGGTGAGGAAGGTGCTCAGTTAGATCCAGATTTAGCTGTGCTGACTGTTTACAAAAGAACTGTGAGGAGACGTTCATAGATCTATGTAGTGTAGTGTAGTTTTCTTTGGCAGTTTGGCTCACATGTGTTTTTATGGACGTATACAGTGTATTAATTATGTCTACTAATTGACAAATGTTAGGTTAGGATGGTTAATCTTCCGGTGAAATAACCTGGGGGACGAATCTTCAAGTGATCTATTTATTACAGAAGAGCCCTACCCCTTTGGGTCGTGTCCTGGGCGGCGGCTCTTCCATAAACTGGCTACTGTACGTCCGTGGCAACAGGCGGGATTTCGACAACTGGGAGGCGATGGGCAACCCTGGCTGGCGGTACAAGGACGCCCTCAAGTACTTCAAGAAGGCGGAGGACTACAGAGGAACCCATAATGCTGATACAGGTTAGTGAAGAGTTCACCCTGAGATCAACAACAATTATTTCTCTCTCTCTCTCTCTCTCCCAAGCAACATCAAATAACGATAATACAGGTTTTTCAAAGACTTAAAAACACCGTTTTGTATCTGGGGAGCAGCTGTGTACCACGGTCGAGGCGGACCTCTGACGGTGGAAGAGCAGAGCTACAGCGAGCCCGTATCCAGAGGGATCCTGAAAGCGGGTCAGCAGCTGGGCTACAACCTCATCGACTACAACGGACCAGAACAGATTGGTAAGGGCAAGTGAAAGGCTTTTAGAGAGATGAAATCGCTGTTTCATCCTGATAGTAGCGCTAACACTGTACTGTACCACACTTGTAGTAGCGCTAACACTGTACTGTACCACACTTGTAGTAGTGCTGACACTGTACTGTACCACACTTGTAGTAGTGCTAACACTGTACTGTACCACACTTGTAGTAGCGCTAACACTGTACTGTACCACACTTGTAGTAGTGCTAACACTGTACTGTACCACACTTGTAGTAGTGCTAACACTGTACTGTACCACACTTGTAGTAGTGCTAACACTGTACTGTACCACACTTGTAGTAGTGCTGACACACTGTACTGTAGTAGCACACACTGTACTTGTAGTAGTGCTAACACTGTACTGTACCACACTTGTAGTAGTGCTAACACTGTACTGTACCACACTTGTAGTAGTGCTAACACTGTACACACTTGTAGTAGTGCTAACTGTACTGCACCACACTTGTAGTAGTGCTAACACTGTACTGTACACACTTGTAGTAGTGCTAACACTGTACTGTACACACTTGTAGTAGTGCTGACACTGTACTGTACCACACTTGTAGTAGTGCTAACACTGTACCACAGTTGTAGTAGTGCTAACACTGCACCACACTTGTAGTAGTGCTAACACTGTACCACACTTGTAGTAGTGCTAACACTGTACCACAATTTGTAGTAGTGCCACACTAGTAGTGCTAACACTGTACTGTACCACACTTGTAGTAGTGCTAACACTGTACCACAGTTGTAGTAGTGCTAACACTGCACCACACTTGTACTGCACCACACTTGTACTAACACTGTACTGTACCACACTTGTAGTAGTGCTAACACTGTACCACACTTGTAGTAGTGCTAACACTGTACCACACTTGTAGTAGTGCTAACACTGCACCACACTTGTAGTAGTGCTAACACTGTACTGTACCTCACTTGTAGTAGTGCTAACACTGTACTGTACCACACATGTAGTAGTGCTAACACTGTACTGTACCTCACTTGTAGTAGTGCTAACACTGTACTGTACCACACTTGTAGTAGTGCTAACACTGTACTGTACCACACTTGTAGTAGTGCTAACACTGACACACTATCAGTATCATTATCACTGCCAATCAATCAATCAGAGTACCATCCTCATTATTTGAGGGTTGGCGACCCCAGTCCTCCACTCTAAACGTTCTCGGGCTGTTTTTACCAAATCTCCAAGGTTTTGTATCTCTCTTGGGGTCCAGTTTTTAATTCCATTCTTCCATCCCAGTCTCTGCCTTCCCCTGGTCCTCCTACCCTCAACTTTACCCATTAATATTTCTGTTATTATCCCCTCATCCCTATTTATATGACCAAAGTATCTAATTTTTCTTTTTCTGTACATTTCAATTATTTCTCTTCAAGTTTTTGCTAATCACAGTACTTCTTCATTTGTTTTCCTGTCAGTGTAACTTATTCTTAACATAAGCGTATAAGACCACGTTTCAAAGGCCTCTAACCTCTTTCTGGTGTCTGCTGAAAGTGTCCACATATCTGAGTCAAATATATTAGCCCATTCATACCCATTTGTTTTATAAATTCTTCTGGAAGCTGATCAACCCCACAATCTTTATTAATTTTTATTTTGCTCACAGCTGTCCCAACTTCTGTTTCTAGAATTGGTGGTTCGATTTTTATTTCGTTTTCGCTTCTTACGTCTACTCTATCCTTATCATTACATAGTTCTTCGACTTACTCTGCCCATCTCTCTTTTTTATCTTTTCTGTCTCAAATAGGATCTTATTGTCTTTACTTTTAAGAGTTCCACCCCAAAGTTATTTAATTTTTTTCTGGTTCATTTGTTTAAACTTTCTATACATTTCCCTACAGTTATGCCATCTGTCATCACCTTCCATCTACTTGCATTTCCTTTCTAGATCATCTTCTGTGGCCTGTCTACATTACTTTTGAATTTATATGCTTTTTTTTTTTACTCACTTCGTTTTATATAATTCTTCGTCTCTCTATTTTCTTTAAGTGAATCATTTACTTAACTCGGGCAAGGGTGATTTTTTAAATTTATTTGCTTGTATATTTTCTTTTTTTACTTACCCTGACAAGTTTTGGGGGGAAATATACTTGCTCGGATTTTTTTTATGGGAAAGGTTAAATAAACAGCATAAAACATTAAAGTTCATTGTGTGTATCAGCTCAGAGATCACTTGCCTAAATTGTTTAAGTGGCAGTAACCCTTGTCTTGTGATGTCATAACTTCTGTCACCTTACTATTGTCTCCTTGTATACAACCCAACAGAATCCGGCCTCTTTGTTCCTTGAAATTTCTCTCCTTTACTTCAAGCTCATCCGGAGTTTCTTACGCTCTTCTCTCTTCACACTCGCGTCGTTTAGAGTTTCAGAGAGAATAAAAACACGAATCGCTTGGAATTGATATACAGAGTAGATCCAATTACCACCAATTACGATTTTTTTCACATAATTGCAACACCACACACATTGTAGATCTCTTCTATAGACCTCACACCATGGTCCAGGGGCTCCACCCGACGTGGCATAACCTCAGCATTACTTAACAGATCCAGACAACGTCATCGGGAAAACAGGTCAACGAGTTTTACACGATTTCTTGCTTAAAGTGAGTGTGTTAAATGGCGCGTGAGGTCGTAGTGAGCGTGTGGTTTAATTATAGTGATTGACCACGATACTATCTAACCTAATTATAGCAGTTAACAATATTACTTTCTGTTGTTATAATACTCAGTTATTTAAATGGAAATAAGATTGGCTCTGATCATGTTTCTGGCCTCACTTTGAAAAATAAAACACCTTAGCTTACATATCTTGAGGATAATCTATTGACATTTTACAGAGAGACGAGTACAACCTTCATTTCCTCCTTCTTTTTTACCTCCCCCCTTTTTCCCCTTCTCCTCCCCGCTTTTCTCTTCTTCTCTCTCCTTTCCCACCTGACGACATTCTCTATGAGCATCACTTCCCCGGGACTCACAGTGACATGACACCCAGAAGCACAGACATACAAGGAACTGTGTATCCGGTGATGTGATCAAACTCCCATTGGCTCTGAGAAATGGAGATGGTCAGTGACTGGGGAAGTAAGAGTCAGTTTTTGCGGCTCGCCTTCTACTACTTTTTGTAACCACACATGAGGCGGGTACATAGCATATTACCCACTTACCTCATTATACCCCTTAACCCACAGAGTCACAGACCCCATTAAACCCCTTACCCACGGACCCCATTAAACCCCTTACCCACGGACCCCATTAAACCCCTTACCCACGGACCCCATTAACCCCATTACCCACAGACCCCATTAACACCATTACCCACGGACCCCATTAACCCCATTACCCACGGACCTCCTCAAACCCCTTAATAAAATGGGCTCCTTAAGCAAATGGGCCTCCTTAACCCCTTTAACCAACGGACTTCCTTAACTTCCTGTTGAATCACAAACGGTAAACTTGTATTGAATCCCACACGAACGGTAAACAGATGGCTCTGTCACGTACTAAAAACCTCAAGTTAAGAGTTTAAGGTTTACTCAGAGCCTCCAAGGAATACTTAGTCCAATACTTATGAAAGATGTCAACTAGAAGTTTTTCTCGTGAAGTAAGTAGTAGTGTGTTGCAGTGGAGTATCAGAATAGTAATAGTAAATCTTAGCTATCACGCTCATAGTTTATCTTAATACTAATATGTATACAAATTTCAACAACTGGATAGGCTTGGTTACGACACGATGCCGGCCCTACGTCAGGGATGGTCAAATACACCAGAATTTAAAGTAATAAATGACAAAGTAGACACTAGTTGGAACACGTAAGTCACATAATGAGCACCTGAGTGATAAGTATCACCTAAGTTGCACATATATGCTAAGACTGAACATATAATTTAGACGGCTTACGGTCAATTCGCCCACAAGTCCATTCGCCCACATTTAGAATTTTATTCGCCCGCACTTAGGAGTCGGTTGGCCCACACCTGAAGTCAGTTCGCCCACACTTAGGAGTCGGTTGGCCCACACCTGAAGTCAGTTCGCCCACACTTTGTCAAGTTTATTTATGTTTATTCATGTACTGGATAACAATGTAATATATACAAATTAACTGTCTGGTTGTTTATTCGGTGACTTTCAAATATAAAAAGCTATTAAAATACACAAACTAAAACGTTTTAAAATGTCAATCATAGAAGTAACTTAGAGTGGATTTAAGATGTTTGGTCTTGCACGGGTTAGCTTTCGGGCAGACAGTACACTGCCAATATGTTGCATTAGGCCGCCGCATTTTTACGTTATATGTGTACTCTATGCTGTCAATGAGCTTGACTCGACCGTGTTTTGTACCCTCCTCCACGACCTTCAACGTAACATCACACTCTGGTTGCTCGTTAGTGTCTCGTATGGGCGGATTTTCAATTGAAGACTCTAGTTCCATTGGAAGGGGAACTGGTTCCTTTGTGTCTAGTAAGTAATAAAGCAATGTTCCATTACCATGTATGTTCAGTTAAACTACGAAGAAATTACATTGTACACAAATTATATTGTACAAAACGTCTGGATTAAAGTGATACCTTCAGTCCTGGTGCTCTCCACGGCGGGGATAATCATGTCTGATACTGGCATGATACTGTCGGTGCACGAATTGTAACTCCAGTCTATGGAATGACCGGATTTAACAGCTTCCCGGTACTCAGCTCGAGGTACACAAGTATCACATTTCCTGTGCTGCCACTTCCCACACTCGTCGCACTGTAGATCTTCTTGCCGTGCCCGTGCAGGCACATTGCATTGAATGCAATAATCTTGACAGTCTGCCATCTTGACATTGACTGAATAAATCCGCTGGACCTTAAAAATTACGAAACCTACATACGATATTTTCATAGTTTCGAAAACTTTATTGAAGTTCAGTTCTTTACATTGATACAATACTTAGCCTAAATAAAGCAGGTAACAAAACAGGTGTGGGCGAACCGACTCCATAGTGTGGGCGAAATGACTTGTGGGCGAACCGACTCTATAGTGTGGGCGAAATGACCGGATTCCATTTCGACTTTAAAGGTAAAACACCCAAAGATCTCTTAGCAGTAAGGCAGCTGAAACGAGGCTCAGACTGGCGCTGGAGAGTCGAGGATTCCACACATGCTGTTGAAGGGAGGAGGGGAGTGAGTGAGGTGGAGGCTGTGGAGGCAGGCGAACAAAGTCTTATATGGATCCGCCTCACTTGTGGGAAAACTCTCGCGGGTTTGTGACGTCAAGTTTTGATCGAAGACGCTGATTGACTGCTTAATGGCACCTTCTCGGTGACAGATAGGCCTATAGACCGGCGGGGATCACCGAGTCCGTGTTTTCGCGCCAATATTGTGGCGGCGAGACGTGACAGGTCAAACATGAACTGTAAACTTCCGTCGTCTATTTTATGAAAGGTAAACTCTTATTAACTCACACAAGAAGGGCAAACTCCTGTTGACTCACAAAATGTAACCTGTTGACTCCGGTAAACTCAGGCAAACTTGACGTAATTATAATATTTCCTCATCATCACTATCACAGGTTTCAGTTCACTACAGTTCACCACTCAAAATGGCCGACGGGCTTCCACAGCTGAAGTCTACATCAAGCCCGCCTCTACACGACCCAACCTACACGTCGCCTTCAACGCCTACGTCACTAAGGTATACTGCTGTTCTAGGTATACTGTTGTTCTAGGTATACTGTTGTTCTAGGTATACTGTTACTCTAGGTATATTGCTATTCTTGGCATACTACTCTTCTAAGTATACTGTTGTCCCAGGTTAAGTATATTTCTCGCCAGGTATATTCTTACTACTTAAATATTCTTTTGCTGTGACATATTCCAGTCCTATTATACTCTTGTCCGAGTATACTACTGTATACTCCTTCACAGGTATATTCCTTCCTAGGTATACTCACTCTTAATTATACTTCTCCCTACTCCTCTCCATGTACACTCCTACTAAGTATACTCCTCCTTATGTATACTACTCCCATAGTATACTCCTGGCCCAGGGATTTGTCCACACTTTTTAACATGATTGTTATTAAATCAATAAAAAAACCTTGGTAAGTTCTTCACCGCATTAAGAGTAGTGACGATTAAGACTGACAAATACTGTTTTGGGAAATATTGTCAACATTATGAACACTTGAAGTGATATGGTTTAAGTTGTAACCCTTTGAGGACGATGGTTTAATTTTTTGTTTTTATAACCAATAAATGATCGTCTTGAACAGATTGAGGAAGACAAATATAGTCACTAGGAAACAAAATATTTTCTATTCTAATCTTACAAATATGATTTACTGATAAGCTTCAGAACAAAACAATTATCCAACACAGGTAAACATTATGAAACATGAACTTCAAGAGTGTGAATTAATATTGAACGGCTTATGAATAAAAGTCCTCTCAATAAACTGTGGTGAGTCTGTTAAGTACTAAATAACTTGTATTATTTCAGATTCTGTTTGATGAGCATAAGCGAGCACTGGGAGTTCGCTTTGAGCAACGTGGGAAGGTGGGTGTACTGTGTGTTGTGTGAGACGGCTCCCAGTTATTGAATGATGTACTGTACTTGGGGTGACGCGCACACACACACACACACACACACACACACACACACACACACACTACTACTACTACTACTACTACTACTACTACAACTACTACTACTATTATTTTTTTTTTATTATTACTTTTTTAAACGGGGCCTCCATCCACCCCCAATAGACACACTTCGCCGCCATTTTATTACCTTAAAATTAGATATCCTAATACATAAGTAGCTACCCTAACTGTGTTGAATTAGGTGAGCCGCAGATCTATGCGGCATTCAGTGACTGTTACCTCATAGTCAATATCTGCAACTGTTGTCGGCACACTTGCTGAGGAGTATAGGCCGTTGGGATTACACTTGCCTAGTCCATTTCTCCCTATGATTCCCTGCCAAATGTCAGCATCTCTGCCAACTCTGGCATTAAAGTCACCAAGGAGCACAACCTTATCTTCTCTGGGGATAGAGATTAACACTCTGTCAAGGTCTGCATAAAAGGCCTCCTTGATGTCATCCTCTGCATCCATTGTTGGGGCGTATACACTGATTAAAAGGGCATGACGTGAGTGATTCAGTGGAACCCAGAGCATTATGAGGCACTCGTTGTTCCCAACAGGCATTTCAGTTAGCCTGTGTAGGATGCATTGGCGGATGGCAAAGCCAACTCCATGAATGTGGTTTCTCTCCGCAGCAGGCTTACCCTTCCAGAAGAAGGTATAGCCAGACCCCCGTTCTGTGAATTGACCCTCGTCTGGGAACCGGGACTCACTAATGATTGCTATGTCGATGTTGTACCTAGCCAGCTCTTTGCCACAAGGGAGGTTCTTCTTTCAGGACGCTCATTTGTGCCAGTATCCAGAAGGGTCCTGACATTCCATGCAGCGACCATTAGAGGTTGTATAGTTGTTGTTTTTTTATATGGGATTATAATTGAGTTTTCGACCACATAAGGATGACCCTACTGGGTGCGGTTGCCCAGTCAGGTTGGCTCTTTAGGCAGGCTATGTTTAGGACACCTTTTCTAGCCCCCTCCCCATGTGGGGTTAGCAGAGTGGCTCCTCGCAAGGGCTCTTCAGGCACACAGACAGGACCGGATTGCACTGCTGCCTAGATCCCGTTACATAAACGACAATCTTATCTGTGCCGCCCATGTGCAGAGTTGTGACCAGAGATTCCCGGCAGTCATATCTGCCTGTCCCCATCGCCATTCGTCAGTCGTCATAGGACTTTTGGTATAAAGGGGTTTGATGATGATGAGAGGTATGATGAGCTGGATGGTGGCTGCGCTTGAGTTGATTTATGTGGTGAGGCAGGAGCGCAGGCTGCAACCACACATCTTGGCTCTCCCTTTTCCTGATCCAGTGGTGCAAGTGTTGCAACGACTGGGGAGAAGGGGAGTTGTAATGGGCTGCCGATAGCCCAGTTTTTGGGTTTCGCCTTAGTAGCCTGTCCATCAAGCATTGCCTTCTTCCGCCGGTGTAGTCGTTGGTTTCCCATGGTGGTCACCTTTTCCGTCGAAACCGCCGTTGGGGTCTTCTTGGAGCTCTGTAAGCATGTCTGCCTGATGTTGGGCTCCACCGCACACACACACACTCACAAAGTTCTTAACATGTATGATGACATATATGAAACCTAAAAAAAGAGTGCAGTGTTTAGTCTACTGAAGGTGGAACAACAAAATCTGTGTTACTCCCGCTGCAGGTGAGGACGGCGTTGGCACGGAGGGAGGTGGTGCTGTCAGCGGGCGCCGTCGGGTCTCCCAAGTTACTGATGTTGTCTGGTGTCGGCCCCTCACAACACCTGCAGGAGCACCACGTGAGTTATTTCACCTGTACGTTGCCTCTACACACTGACATGTGATGTATCATGAGTATATATACTGGTAACAGGCGCTGAAGGTAGTGACACAAAACATAAAAAGAATAACAATGAATATAATTGTTATCGATGTTCAGAAATAGTCATCTTGTGTTTGTATTCATAATTTGTGTTCCCAGTTACAAGCAGAATGTACAGTGAAGGACGATTTGATTCACTAAACCACATCCTGACCAATAGCAGGGAGGCTGGCGGTCAAATGGTTCTCCACCAACACCAGTTGGTTGGTAGGCAGGTGGTGCAACACTCTCTTGCTATCCTCAGATCCCCGTGGTGGCGGACGTGGCCGGGGTGGGCGAGAACTTCCACGACCACCCTGGGGTCTATGGCCTCACCTGGATTGTCAACAAGAACTCCGCCGGGAATATACTGTCTCTCGTGGCCCCCAGCTCCATAAAAAACTACCTTACGAACGGCCAGGGTGAGCTCATTGATGTTAACAGTTGTGTTTAATCATTGCCTGTACACGTAACGCATTATTTACCATTTGAATACGTTGACTAAATCCACTGTATACAATGACGTCTTACTCAAGAGAAGAATTCATTGTATTCAAGGGTCAGGGTAATTTATAGTAAATACACCTTTTCACATATACGTTGAGACACTGTTATATACCTATTTGACAAATTTCATAACCGAATGACAGAACACATATCGAATGACAATCTAAAATAACTGTTCGTTCATGCTAACGGAAATGACTGACATAAGTTATGAAATTGACAGCCGTGAACAACAAACCGACAGTCTACATATAGTTTGAGAATGTAACAATTGGAGAATGACATACCACCAACAGTTATTTTAGATTGTCATTCGATATGTGTTCTGTCATTCGGTTATGAAATTTGTCAAATAGGTATATAACAGTGTCTCAACGTATATGTGAAAAGGTGTACTATATGTGAAGTTCCAGTCACACAAATTTCCTGGGTGGCAAAGATCCGGATGAAACGTTTCATTTAAGATGTATATCCGGCTATATACATTTATAATCTCAAAATACTGCATGTTAACATTGTAAATAAATTAAAAAACTGAACTAGTGCCGTGTAGAAAAGTAACATGCGGGTAAAAAAAATCCATCCCTCTCCTGTTGAAGAAGGGCCCTGGGGTGATAAATAAGAGAGAGAGAGAAAGATGCTGGAGTCCGCACCTAAGCTTCCCGACCGCAGTCCGCTAATTGAGTTACTCTGGATCACAGCATCGTAATCATGGGAAGGGACATTATATTCAAAGGGTTGTAACGTACTGAAAGGGGTTGATTAACTTAACCTAATATTCTAGCCAAACCACTTTCACTTATGTCCGTGATCAATGGGACCGGTTCAACATCTTTTGATAAGAAATTAGTTAATACTAGACAAAATTAAAACTGCGCAGTTGACAGAGCCACTATATACACATTCAAATGAAAAATGTAAGTGTCGACGACAGCACCAGAGGTGTGTAATGGGATGCAATGAATAGCAGGACCAGGGAGTCTATAATGTCCAGTTTGCGCGAAGAAGAATTAATCAGATCAAAGGTTTTTTGACGTGGCGCAGAGATAATTCTCGACAGAATCAGAAGAAAGGAGCCATTTTAATCATTCATAACATCTACATCATTATACTGCTATTTGTATATAAGTAATAAAACAAAACAAAAAACAATGAAATACTTAAACTTATCGAAATGTATCAGGTATCGGGAAAAGTCCCTTCAGTTTGTTCAGTAAGAGGCAACTAACACTAGCGTACATTTACGTCGTCGCATTCCTCGTTCACAGGTCCACTCTCTGTCCCCCTTGGCTTTGAGGCTGTTGCCTGGCTCCCGTCGAAAGAGGGCGACCCTTTATGGCCACAGATACAGTTCCTCTTCTCATCATTGCCAAGCGTCTTCGACCTGGGACTCACCCTTACTACTGCCGTTAACCTCAGGAAAGATGTAAGAACACCAGGTGAAGCGGGTATCCCCCCTCCTTACTGACATGGCTTGAGATTGATGATTGTTTTAACACTGATTCTTATTATATCTTATTTATAATTATGTATGACATCTGTATCACCACCACCACTACCACCGCCACTAACCTAAGTACTACCACCGCCACTAACCTAAGTACCACCACCGCCACTAACCTAAGTACCACCACCGCCACTAATCTGATTACCACTACTCACCTGGCCACCACCACCACTCACCTGGCTACCACTACCACCACTACTGACCTCACCACCATCACCACTACCGCAACTGACCTCACTGCCACCATTACCACCAGCTTGTAGCACAGTACTTCGGTCCGGTGCAGCTGAAGAAAGTGTACCATGCTTACCCCAGCCTGACCCGGCCCAAGAGTCGAGGAACGGTGAGGCTCAGGTCAGGTCACCCTCGGGATGCCCCTCTCATTGACCCCAACTACCTCAGCCATCCTGATGACGTCAAGACATTGATTAAAGGTAATTACAGGAGGCATGTGATTATTATTATTATTATTATTATTATTATTATTATTATTATTATTATTATTATTATTATTATTATTATTATTATTTGTTTCTGTTATAATTGTTTCTTTCCATTATTCGCCTTCCCAGTCTATGTATCTTTCCTTCTCTAAAATATCATAATCGTCATTATTGTCTATCCACAACTACAGTATATCATTCTCATTTGCGTAATATTTTTCCATACATTTACGTTCTTGCTGTTGATGACTTGTTAGCGTGAGGGTAATGTGGGGCGTTTGATAGTTTAGAATAATGATGATGATGATGATGATGATGATGATTAATATGGTTGTGTCACCTGGCTGGCTGCTGCAGCTATCAGGTTCGCTTTGGCACTGGGCAATACATCGGCCCTGAGGGAGGAACACGGCGCCAGGTTCCACGACAAGGTAATGAATGACCCTGTCTTTGCCCGCGCTTTTATACAAACACACGCAGTCATGACGATACGATGAATAATTTACTGATAGAAAACAGATGCAGGATAATAATTGCAATAAAATAATAATTATACAGATAAGAGGTGTGAGTTTTCTTTAGTGGCGTATGTAAGGTGAGTATCGTGTACAGGTGTTGCCGGGGTGTGAGGGGCTGAAGGAGGGGTCAGACAGTTACTGGGAGTGTTACCTGCGTCACATGGTCAGCTCCGCCATACACTTCGCCGGCTCCTGCAAGATGGGTCCCGTCAACGATTATTACAGCGTCGTCGACCACAACCTCAAGTATGTGGATGTGTCAGAAGACTTGTCATAGTGTCTGTTATGCCAGCTAATTGTAACAAACGTGTGTGTGTGTATGTGTGTGTACACTAACACAAATCCCCTCTACAGGGTGCGGGGCGTGGCAGGACTGAGGGTGATCGACGCCTCCATCATGCCGCTGGTGGTATCTGGCAACACCAACGCTGCAGTTATCATGATCGGTGAGAAGGGCGCCGACCTCATCAAGCAGGATTGGGGCGCCACTGTTGACCCTCTGTGAAGGATATACGTGTAGGGACCTCATCAAGCAGGTGTGGGTCGCCCAGGCTCCAGGTGACCTACTGCGATAAACACCTGAACAAACCTCTCCAACTGTGGCTGGATCATTAATTTTCAGTCGTGCCAAATCATATAGGTTATAAGAGGCTGTCTGCCGTCACAGGAGAACAAAGATCAAGTGCTCGGTGATGTCAAGGAGATAAGATACAAGGAGCGGCTGCTGCTCAGGAATAGTGAGAAGAGGAGGATAAAAAAAAAAGTCCATCACCAACCAAAGGATCTCCCGAGTCAAAGAGGCTCACATGATCGACATGGAGTGAGATGGTACGACAGCGAGGAGCATCGGGGTTAAACACAGCGGGTCTAGTAATAAAACAATATGTTGAAATGTGCCAATATAGTCGAGTGATTAACTGCTGTACTGGAAGGAAGCGACCCCAACACTACACTCGGTGAAGATTCTCGAGGGCGCTAGTGGGATGTACTGCCACAGTCTCTCAACGCTAATAGGATTTTTTTTTCACCTCAGCAGGCCTTAACTTGGTGTCACGTCCTTCCTTTCAATAGTAATGATGAAGAGAAACGGTGAAGTGTTTGAAAAATTACCTTCCTAGCAGGGCTTAGCAAATATAAAATTAATGAAACACTGAAATCCTTGAAGGATTACCATACGCATTTTGTACACTTCCACCTTCCAGATGACCTCGTTGTCATTCTTGTAATCACAGTCACGAACATTCAGGAACGTAGTTGGAGAAAATGAAGTTAAATTTTAAGTATTTTATTTTTGGTCGACAATAATTATAGTTCTCACTGGAATCTTTGGGAAATAAAGTAATTATAAGTGTAATATAACAACATTTTATAGATAATTGTAATTATGACTGAATCTTGGGAGCAGTAATTGTATTTGTAATTTGATTTATCCTAAAAAAAAAGTAATTGACCCCGAACCTGACCCAGCATAACGCGAGAGGTTCCTTATGTACTGGATAACAAAAATGATGTTTATACTGAGGCCGCCAAATATTACTGTAATTGAACAAATTCCTTTTCCTGTGTATATAATTTATTTACTTACCATTACATTCATTAATTTCATTGGAGTAGATAGTAACTAATTTTTATTATTTTTGCATAGAACCTACCTCTGTTGTTATCTTCTCTTTGTTCATGATTACTCTGATGTCTTGTTAACATGTCACCGTCCTCTGTATGTAACTGTACACATATATAGTAATGACAAATATCTACTCCTGTGTTTTGTGTTACCTCTCATGGCAGGGATATACTGTATAGTGTTACTCATGTCTAGCTGTCCGTCTATCTGTCTGTATGTCTGACAACTTTTCCAAAACACTCTTATATTCTTGGCTTGTCACTTCTTCTCTACATGTGGGTTTGGATTATATATTATAATCGCGTCGGAAACAACATGGGAAACATCTTACGGTAAAATACAAAAAGAATAATAACGTGATACTGCAACATCTGAGCATCACACTGTCAAGGTATTGGCTGACGGAGGAGAATATTTATATTTAATTATCAGTTCTCCATGTCCTCTATTATTTGTCAGTGTGTTTTGCAATTATTTAAGATTTTTCATTACTTTACCTGTAATTATTTAATGCTATTATTATATATAATCGGTGTCTCAATATTGACACACCAGCGCATGCGTAGACGTGACCTTATATTTGGGGAATCGGGCTCTAAGGACCAGTTGTTCAAATGATATTTAGTTTATGAACCATTTCGAGATCCGTAAGTACTATTTTTGCGTGTTTTATATTTTATAATTTTCATAAGTGTAAACTTGATGTATTTAATTTTGCGTAAAATTAATAAAAAAGTCTGGCCACTGTTGCTTGGCCAACTTTAATGAGAGACTTTGTCATCAGTTCCTACAGTATGTAGAAATGAGGCGTTCAGGTCTGGAGTCGAGGTGTTGGTGTGAGCGGAACCTCAGTGAGGGCTACAGTGTGACCAAGAGGTTGGACTTTGTTGTGGGACCAGACCTGGCCACCAGACGGCCCAGGTTGGGCCACCGAGGACTGGGGTCGTCCCTTTATTCCTACTGAATGTTGTGGTCTCGTGATTGAATATGCTATACATATCGCACAACGATCCCAGTACCAATAAATTTTATTGGTACTGGGATCGTTGTGGTTTGTTTGTTTCGTTGTGGTTTGTTTGTTTCATAAATGATAGGGCAGATGCTATACACTCCTCCATACAAATATTTACAGCCGACAGTAAGTTATTCAGGGAAATTAAGAACCAAATGGACTGTGAAGCACTACAGAAAGACCTTTGTCGGCTTCAGGGGTGGTCAAAAGAATGACTGTTAAAATTCAACGTCACGAAATGCAAATTGATACACCAAGGTCGCACCAACAGTAAGGAAGCGTATTACATGTCCCAACGGGACGAAGAAGAGCATTAACTTGGCCTAAGTGTGAAAAGGATCTGGGTGTGTATGTTGAAAACAAACTGAGGTTCTGGGACCAGTGTGAGAAGAATGCGAATCAAGCAATTAAGCCATGAGGAGGGCGTTCACATACCTAGACGGACTTTTACTTTTGTTTTTACTTTTATATTCTTCACCACTGATCGGCTCGCTAGCCGCTTGGGTGATCGGTCACGTCTCTGTTACGTACTCTTGGCAAGTAGTGGGCATGCACTGGCTCCTGAATGTTTCTGAACCTCCTCCAGTGCTTGTCAGTCTGGTATTGAAAGAGCTCACACTCGGTGCCGTCACAACGCTGTCTGGCAGATTGTTCCAAGAATTCACAACTCTTGCTTCCAAAAAGTTACCCCTCACAGTTTTCTGGACTTGCGGCTTTTTCAACCTTGAGCTGCGACCCCTTGTGGGGTGGGGCGAGCGTCCGCCAGCTCCAGGTAAGGAAACTCTACTGACTTGTGCCCTTTGAGATGTTTATACACCTCAATTAGGTCCCCCCTTGCCCGTTTCTAGCATAAACTAGGCAATTGCTGGCGCTTTAATCTCTCATGGTAGCTAAGGTGCCGAAGTGCTGGCACCAGTCTGGTGGCCCTCCTTTGGACATTTTCAATCAACTGATAGTCCCTACCATATCTCGGGGACCAGACGGGGTGACAGTACTCCAGACGGGGAAGCACCTCACTCTTGAAGATCGTTACGATATCTGAACGACCTTCTTATAAGACCTAATAATTTAGTTGCTTGATACACCTTCTTCTCACAATGGCCCGAGAACTTCAGTTTATTGTCAACATTCACGCCTAGTTCCTTTTCACATTCAGTCTCAATTCATACAGTTTCTTCGTCCCATTGGAACATATGATACGCCTCCTTATCGTTGGTACGTCCCAGGTGCAGCCTCTTACACTTCGTGACATCGAATCTTAGCCGCCATTTCTTCGACCATTCTTGAAGCTCACAGAGATCTTTCTGCAGCTCTTCACAATCTGCTTGGATCTTAATTTCCCGAAATAACTTGGCATCATCCGCAAACATTTGTATGGAGGAATGTACAGCTTCTGGCATGTCATTTATGAAGCAAACAAACAACAGCGGGCCCAATACACTGCCCTGTGGCGGGTACACATGACGATTTCGTGCCATTAATCACCACACGCCGCTTGTGATCATGGAGAAAGACTCCGATCCACGCTAGGACACTTCCCCGAAACCCGTACCCTTCCAGTTTAACGTTAAGCCTTTCATGGGGTACGCTGTCGAAAGCCTTGGCAAAATCTGGGTATATATTGTCGATATTACCACCCTGTTCCAGAATGTGGGTCCAAACATCCAGTATCATGAGTAATTGTGTTAGGCAGGAGCGTTCCGGCATAAAACCGTGTTGGCAATCCAGTACAAGGTTATTTTTTAATTGAATTGAATTGTAACAGTTTATTTAGCCAGAAAAATACAGATACAGAGTGGATAATAATAACAATATTAACATGGCTGAGCCAGTTGAGAACCTGAGCTCTCTTTGAGGCACCTGATATATACTATACATTTATCTTAAGGAAGTATTATGTAACATTTAGTACCATCTGGAATAGTACAATATTTATTTGTTTTATTATTTATTATTTTTATTTTTTATTTATGTATTTTTTTTATTTATTTATTTTTTTACATTTATTTATACATACCTATGCACATATACTATATATATATATATATATATATATATATATATATATATATATATATATATATATATATATATATATATATATATATATATATATATATATATATCTACATATACACACACATACATACACATACACATATACATATAAATTAGAGTGGAATTTAAAAACATAAGTACAATGGGGGAGCAGTACAACCTGGGTTGTGCAGTAATAAGGTTGAACAAGAGGACAGAGCTTTCAGGATTATGTCTAGTTGGCAATTATGTGTATTGCAATGGTAATTACTTATTTATTTACATGATAATTTCCGATAAAACGGATTTGGTGGTACAATAAAAGCAGGTACTGTAAATATAGTAAGTGTTACAAGAAATATTAATACTTCGACAATAGAAATTTTTTTAGAGATGATTTAAAGGAAGGGAGCGTAGTCTTTGCTCGGATGGGTGGGGGTAAGTTGTTCGATACCTTCACACCATGATATTTTATGGAGGTCTGGGACTGGGAGGAGCGCATGGGGTTGATCTTAGTAGCTCTGGGTGCCTTAAGTTGTATCTCTGATTATTCCGAAACTGGAAGTAATTATATTCAAGCAAGTGATTGATAGATTTGTAAACAAAGAGGGCAGAGTAGTAAGTGTTAATATCTTCGAATTTTAAAAATTTCAATATAGCAAATTTTTCGTTTGTGTCATCTGTTTTTTTCAAGTAGGTCATTGTCCGTACAACTCTCTTTTGTGCAGTAACCAGAGATTGTGTTTTTGAAGAGCCAGAGGCCCCCCATAGTGTGTGACAGTGTATCAGGTGTTGGTAAACAAGATCATGATAGATTTCTTTCATTGCTGTGAGAGTGAGTGACTGTCGAGTGTGATACATGATACAGCACTGTTTATTGATTTTACTGTGAATGGCTTGTATGTGGTTTCTCCATTTAAGTTTCTCATCAACAATAACTCCGAGGAATTTAGTATTTTCGCGTTTGAGGACTATATTACCAAGGTACAGGGGGTTCAAGTCTGGAGGTAAGTTTTTTCTTCTGTGAAAGATCGTGTAGTGGGTTTTCTCAAGATTTAGGGTCAGTTTATTACATATTACCCAGGTCCCGACTTTGGTTAATTCAGTGTTCATAGTTCTCATCAAGGAATGGAGGTCTGAGTTGCTGGCATAGAGATTATTATCGTTTGCAAATAAGTTGTATTTTATGAGTGAGCTGGCGTGGACTATGTCGTTTATATACGACAAAAACAGTACTGGACCGAGAATTGAACCTTGGGGGACTCCATACAAGATTTGGCGAGGAGTCAGATTGGTGGTTATTATAACAGACATACTGCATCCTGTTGGACAGATATGAGGTAAACCAATTGTGGGACAGGCCCCTAACGCATTAATGTTCAAGCTTTGAAAGGAGGATGGTATGGTCGACAGTATCGAAGGCTTTAGAGAGGTCCAAGAATATACCGACTGTGAAATGACTGTCATCAAAGGAATTTAAGATGTCATTAGTAAAGGATAGCAGAGCACTCTCAGTCGACCTTCTAGCTCTAAATCCAAACTGGGAGTCTGTAACGATGTCATTGGCATTGCAGAAGGAATTTAGTCTATTACTTGCTAGCTTTTCCAGTATCTTACTCAAGGCTGGGAGGACTGATATGCGGCGGTAGTTCTTGAAGAGACCTTTGTCCCCAGATTTTTTATATGCCGGGTGGACTTTAGCAATTTTCAGTTTATCAGGAAAGACACCACGAGTGAAGGAGGAGTTACAAATGTGGAGGAGAACAGGTAGTAATAAGTGGGCCACTTTTTTAATGATGCTCATTGGTATATTGTCTTCGCCTGTTGCTGCATCTTTGGACATTTTTATGATGGCCAGTAATTCATCTGCTGTGACAGGGGATAAGAATAGTTCATTTTGCTGTCTGTTTTGCAGGTAGGCTCTAAATTCCTCATGGTGATCAGGGATGCTCTCTGCAAGATTTTTCCCAACATTAATAAAATATTCATTGAAGTGGTTGGCAATGAGGGAGGGTTCCGTTATAACTGAATCGTTTATCATAAAAGCTGAGTGGGGGGCCGAAGGCTGAGTGTTCCTGTTCTGA